CCAAGATCTGGCTATCACAAATTGTGCTGCTATAAACATAGGTACGAATACATCACTATGATATGATGCTTTTAGTTCCTGCGGGAAAATTCCCAATAGGGGGATAGCAGGCTTGAATGGGATTTCCAGTCCTAGTTTTCTAAGGCGTCTCCACACTGATTTCCATAATGGTTGCACCAGTCTACACTCCCACCAACAGTGGAGAAGGGTTCCCCTTTCCCCAAAGCCTCTTCAACATTTGTTGTTGGTTGATTTCTTTATGATAGCCAATCTGGCTGCTATTCTTGTAATATAAAAAAATCATCCCCCGCAAAGCTTTTCAACAAGGGAGTGGATACCGCTGTTACTTTTTCAAGAGTAAAGAGTGTTAGTATTCAATAGTTTGGTTTGTTGTTTTTTGAGTCTCAGACTGTGTGGTTCGGGCTGGCCTCGAACTCGCGGCGACCCTCCTGCCTCGGCCTCTCTGAAGTGCAGAGACCACAAAGGTGCCGCCACAGTGTCCGGCGCATCGATGCATAATATTTTACCTCATCACGTTCCCAAGCCAATTCTGAGCACCGTGCAGGGCGTGCTAAAGAAACGCCGTTTGCTCGAGAGAGAGTAGATGCGCGATTGGCGCCTGAGCCTCGCGCCTTCTGCAAGGCCCGAGAGGCCTCCGCGGAGGGTGCGCGGTCTCGCCTCCCCCACTGGCCCCGCGCCGCCGCCACTCGGCCCCACCGCACGCACAGCCCGCGGGGACACCGCGGGGCCCCGACGGCCTCCTCGGTCCGGATGTCCCCACGCACCGGGCTCTGCGGGCCTTCGGGGTTTCCGTCTGTGGCCCCCGTCCCGCTGCCGCCCACGACCCCGGCCAGGTACCTGCGACGCGAACGGCGGCGACAGCAGCAGAGCACCTCGGGTGGCGGCGGGAAGAGGAGGAGGAGGGGCGGCCACTGAGGCGCGCGGAGCGCCGGCCAGAGCGGCCTGGCGCCGCGGCGCTGAGCGCGCCCCCTGCAGGTGGGAGGCGCTCACAGCGCTCGGCCGGCTGGGAAGGAGGCGGGGTACCCGAGCGGACGCTGAGCTTAGCGCATCTGCGCCCCCGCGCATCTCGCTCTTTCAACCTCCTCTTCTACATGTCCGTCCTGCCCCCTTCCGCTAAATGGAGGCTTCCAGGGCAAGGACGGTTGCTATAAACATCAACTAATAGTTGCTAGCAGCAAGGCGGGTCTTACAGAGAACCCAAACGGACACGTTAGCCACAGCAACTAGTGGCCGGCGGCTCCTACTCTAAAAAATGATTCAGTCTTGCAAAACCGGCCTGGATGTCCAAGCCCCACTTGGTAGGACTGTTTCGCTTATTGTGACACGTGCGCAGCCAAACTAAAGCCGCGGGGACTGTGTTGCCTGCGCATTCTCTCAGGCAGAAGCTTTTCCGGTTGTTAGTTGACCAGCTCGAGTCCCACAGCCGAGATGACGCCCCCTGCGCGGTGTCCGCCACGCCCCCGCCCGAAGTCTGTCCCCGCATTCCAGGGCCATCTTCCCCGTCTGGGTAGTTTGTTCTTGCTAATGTCGTGCAAGCGCTCGAGACTGTTGCCAAATTTGAAGAGATCTCTAACACATTCCTTTCATATGAAAACTATAAGACTTCAGGGAATTTTTTTTTATGCAGTGACTAATGACAAACATTACCTTTCAAATTGATGTCATATTAATCCACTTGTCACTGAGGTCACTGATGACTCATTAATCCACTTTGTCACTGAGGTCACTATGACTCTTTGTGGTTTTTTTTTTTTTTTTTTTTAATATCTTTGCTGATGCCTGTAAACTATGTCAAATCAACAAGAAATTTAAACTTTTCACCACTGTATCTATACAATTCATGCTTCATCAACTGGCTTATCAAATGATCTGAGAGTCCATTCACCACTTATTAAAAGTTATCTCTTTATCTCCTTCTCCTCTGTCTCCTCCTTCTCCACCATCTCCTTCTCCTTCTTCCCCTTCTTCCCCTTCTCCTTCTCCTTCTCTCTCTTCTTCTTCTCCTCCTCCTCCTCTTCCTCCCTCTTCCTCCTCCCTCTCCTCCTCCTCTTCTTCCTTCTTCCTCCTCCTCCTTCCCCTTCTCTTTCTCCTCCTTCTCCTTTTCCTCCTTCTTTCTTCTTCTTCCTCTTCCTCTTCCTCTTCCTCTTCCTCTTCTTCTTCTACTGTTTTGTTCAACCTAAAAAAAAAAAATAGGGGCAGTGAAGACAGGATTTTTAAATAGTTATTTATTTATTTATTTATTTATGTTTACTTCTGATGAGACTAAGGGGATGCACTCCATGCCCTGTGCATTTGACGATTCCTTCATGGCAGCCCCAACAGGGACACTGGCAAAGGGCTCTGGAGATCTTCCCAGGAGCTATTCTTAGCCTCCAGCAACATCTTGATGCTGTTGGAATTGACCACAAACTGCAAGAATATACCCCACTAAAGGCAAACCAATGTGTCCCCAACTTCTCTGCTCAGCCAGAACTCTGAATGCCTGTAGCCATCCCGTGCTGCTCAAGGAGAGGAGAACACCTCAGGAAGCCGAGGCAGCTGTCTCATCCGTGGTGATTAAAATATTTTTGCAAAATTACAAAAATATCCAGTCAGGTAAATGCATGTGCAGGGGCTTGGAAGCAGCCTACACAAGGATCTGATTACATCAATTTCCCTATAAGAATGACCACAAAGTTACTGCCACTGTAACTAATAACCACAAATGTAGTGACTTAAAACAATAATTATTTAACTTATTTTTCAGGATGTCAAAAGGCCATAGTCATTTTTACTGGACTAAAGTCAGTGTGAAAAAAAAAAGTCAGTGTGGGCACAGCTGTGTCCTTACTTCTCTGGCTCCTGGAGCCTGCGTAGGTCCCCTGGCTTGTGACTTCTTCCTCCACCTTCAAAGTTCCTTTCTAGGTTTTGCTTCCATTCTTGTACCTTCTCAAACCCTCACTCCTTGTGAGAAGCCTTGCGTTTGCATCAGGCATCCGTGGATAATCCAGGATAACTGCCGCCTCTCATGATCTCAGTCACATCTGCAAAAGCCCCATTTACCACATGGGCTAACATATGCATAGGCTCTGGGGATGGCGACCTGGGTGTCTTTGGTGGATGGAAGTGCAGCCTTCCATAAAGGCCTTGAAGCTTCCGTTTCACTCTCTTCAGGCAAATCTGTCTTTGTTCTCATTCCAAAACTGTTTTGTCCCACGTTCTGACTGTGTGATCGCCAGTGGAGAGGAATGCCCTTAATTGCAACTTGTGTTAAGAGTTACTAATGGAAAGAGCAGTACCCTTGAAAGAAAACAATCTGGGACCTAATTTGGATTAAAATGCAACAATATTTTAAAATAGCAAATGAGAGAGCAGAAGAAAGAAAAACAAAATTACCTAAGGTAGGTGTCTTTCTCTTTTTTTGCTTTTGCTTTTTCAGCCCTGGAGATGGAACCCAAGGCTTCATCATGCTAGGTAAGCCTCTGCCATTGGACTTTATCCTCATCTCCTCGAGAACTTCATCTCACTAACTTGCTCAGGCTGTTCTCTAACTCTCAGTCCTCCTGCCTCAGCCTCCCACATATCTGGAATTGCATGTATGTGCCACCAAGCCTGGGTAGAATTTTAACTTAAAGAAAGAAGAGTTTGGGCCATCCTAAATATGGGTTCCTGTAGAGTCTTAGAAAATACAGAAGTGGGGCTGGGGAGATAGCTCAGCAGCAGAAGGACCTGCCTGGCAACCACCAGGTGCTGAGTTCAATCCCCAGTACCAAAAAAAGGAGGAGGAGGAGGAAATACAGAAGACTTTCAAAAGCATTGTAATTGAGCACTTACCAGAAGAGACTCAAAGCAATGTAGCCACTATCCCGGTATCACTAGTTTCCTCTGCAGAAAGAGATGCAGACAGAATGGAGGGGTAAAAATGCACCATACTTGTCAAGTAAGAAGAATATCCCTTTTTTTGAGCTTTGCCTTCATGTAAAAGGGTACATGTTATTTCTTTGTAGTACTAACAAATGACCACGAGAGGGAGACAGGCTCCTGAAAAGTACAGCATTCTGCCTCCCTTCTCTCAGGCCCCGCTGAGGAGAGTTTGGTGTTTTTCAATCTATGTAGATTCCCAGCATAGCCCCAAGCCACTGGGCATGAGACAAGTAGCCATATTATCTATCCCAGAGCTAAATTTACTTCAGCACCTTAACAGTTGTGAACATTCAAACCACTGGAGGGGAGGGATGGCTGGGGAGACTTACACATCTGTGTGCCAGCCTTCATCTTTGCAAAGCTATTTGAGGAAAAGTTCGAAGCTTAGTAGAGTAAAATTTCCCTCCTGAAACCAGTATTACTAGGAAGTGTTCAAGTAAAACATTCAGAATGGACTCTCGCCCTTTGTTACTTGCAAAATAAACATCTTAGATACTGAATTCTTAGAGCAACTAAGAAAACAGCTGTCACCCTGGAAAGAGGAAAGGAGCAGGGCCCTGTGCCATGGCACCCACTGGTGTTTCGTTTGCATGCCCCTACATGTGCTAGAATCACACAGATTTTTCACATGCAGAAGAAATAACGCGGGGTTGGGGAGATGGTGCAGTAGAATAAGCGCTTGCCTGGCAATCAGAAGGGTCTGAGTTCCATCCCTGGTTCTGCAAAAAAAACAACAACAACAAAAAAAAAATTTGATGGGATAAGATAGAGTGGCACCCCATGAGCCTTCCCTTCCAAAGTTAAACAACTAAACTTTGGCATGGGGATATCTTTCACAAAGGTTTAAGCAAGTGGTGTACAAATCCTCCAAAGATGACTGGAAATGCTGGGCTTGGGCAGGGGGCATGTTGTAGGGTAGCAGATTTGTACCTCACATGATGGCACTAGGGGGTCCAAGAAGTGAAGGTTTGGGTGGGGCTGTCAGAGAACCAATAAAAAGCCACATGCTAGTCTGTCTGGGACGCCTACCATTGTTTGGCCTCATTAAAGTACAAGCTGTTTCCTCTGTAGCGAGTACTGCTTCTAGTTATTCTCTTACCTACTGTCTGGTGGCAGGCCCTGCGCTCTGCTGATCACCAGAGGCAGTAGTCATGAAGAGCTGGACATGGTGAACAGGAAGGAGAGAGGGAAGAGAAAAATCAAGAGGGAGATCAGCAGTCCACAATTCTCCCCCTAAGGACCTATCTCTTTTGACCAGACTCCATCTCTTAATTGCAAGTCTGTTAGCCTTTTGAAAACCCCAAGTCTGAGTGCATGAGGCTTAGGGGGAACAACTAGATATAAACAATAGCACCAATGTAGCCAAGTCACAAATCCAAGCAGAACAAATAATCCAGTACACCTACTGGCTCTTACCCAATGGGGCAGGCTCGAGAAGACAGGGCCATCTAAGTTAGGCAACTTGCCTAGACTCACCTTGATAGCTAGAGGCAGAAGCGACCTTGGAACTCAGGTCAGGAGGATAATGAGGCCAGAGGGATGGTCCCCCTCTCACTGTCATGCCTCTAATTTCGGTGGAACTTAAACACTTACGTACCTCAGGCAGAAATTGTATGAAAACTTCATGCGTCACTTCTGAGTTCTCTCCTTAGGATAAGAGTCTGGACATAGCCTCTCCCTTTGTATAAATGAGTTTGTTTCCATGATCTCCGGGCTCTTGGGTTACAGGGGCTGTTTGGGAGAAGATAGGGCTGTGCCACCAGGTCTGCAAGTAACTCAACAATGAGATACAAGCTACTAGCCTGAAAGTAGACTTTTGCTTGGGACACAGGCTATGTGAGAACGTGAATTCCAGTGCTCCTAAGAAATGATCTTCCCCGAAGCACTGTGCAGAGCACCAAAAATGTCAGTTAAAGAAGACCTCTCCTAAGCACATAGTGATAATGTCTACATCTTTGCTTATTTATCTTATTTTTAAAACATGCTCAGAAACTGAAAATCAATAGGCGTCTACATTTTCTCAGAAGTGAGCCAAGAAGGAAGGGCTGCAGAAGCTAGCGCGGGAAAAGCTCCTGGGCCAGGCTGCTCTTGCCTTTTCTCTATTTCTTTCTGGCCTCACATTTTCTCCTAAATCCTTTAATAATTCTCCTCCTTAGAGATTTGTGCCAGTTTGGGGCTTGTTAAGTCTGGGAACAGGAAAAGCTGAGGGTTCATGCTGGTCCCCAGAAGCCTGGGAAGGTCTGCTCAGCCAGATAACGAGCAGCTAAGAAGATTCCAGTCCTCTGTGTTGTTAAAGAGCTCA